CCACCAGCCACTCCTCGGGAGGAAGACTGGGCAATCTACTTCCATAGAAATACCGCCTCGGAAACCCAAGGAGGGGTCTCTATGAGTCGGAACTAACTCGACAGCAGTGAGCTTGTTTTTTTTTTTTCCAGTATCTCCAGATTTTCTAGGTCATCCTTGTGTCCCAGATTTTAGACGTGAGGTAATAAAACCTCCGTCCGTGTTTTGTGTGCATGTGCACTGCCTGTGAGAACTGCTCTGGACCGGAAACAGGAGGGCTATGCTAGGCATTTTCCCATCCACGGAGCTGGCTCAGGGAAAGTGCTGCCAACAGGCAGGGCCCACACCCTCGGGCTCGGCCACCCAGAGTGAGCCTTCTCAAGTCTGTGGGAAGAGCCTGTGGGTTTCTTTACAAAAACATACGCCTAGTATTCTAAATCTCCTTGGATTAGAATGATGAGATCTCTCCTTTCGTTGTATTTAAAATTAATTACTGTCCTTGTTTTCAATGGCCTGGCACAACGGTAAGGAGCTCTGGTGGCGCAGGACCTAAGGCATTTGACTGCTAACCAGAAGGTTGGTGGTTCAAACCCACCAGCTGCTCTGTGGAAGGAAGATGGGCCCATCTACTCCCATGAAGACTGACCACCTCGGAAACCCGGTGGGGTCACTGTGAGTCGGAATGGACTCGATGGCAGTGAGTGTGGCTTTGCTTTGGCACAGTGTTAGGTCCTCAGGCACCACACGTGGTTTGCACATGGCTACCAACCTAAAGGTGGGTGGTTTGAGCCCACGCAGCAGGGCCATGTAATAAAGACCTGGCAATCTGCTTCCGTAAAGAACTGTAGCCCAGAAACCCCTATGGCACGGCCTGCTCTGGATCCACGGGGTCACCACGAGTGACAGTCAGCTCAGTATGGTTTGGGTGGTGGTTTTTATGGATAAGATGACCTCTTGCCCACACACCGTGTTTGTGTTGTCATTGTGTTCCATCAAGGCGACTCCAGCTCCTAGCGACCCTTCAGGGCCCAAGAGAACTGCCCCATAGGATTTTCTGAGCTGTAATCTTTATGAACAGGAGCTCTGGCAGCACAGTGCCTAAGACGTTTGACTGCTAACAGAAGG